TATATATATATATAGTTGAATCATATTATGTACAACTGATATATTTATATATTCATTTTATATTTTTGGTCGATGTATATACTGTACATGTTTGACTCATGAAAACATTCTGATATTAGCGAATAACGAGCGTTGAAGTTAAATTGAACTGTTTTTAGTAGCCGAAGTAGTTGTCTCCGGACCGAACTTTCTAGCTGTAAATTTATATCGAGAAAAAAACCCTCACCACTACTCATTTTGAGTTATCAACCATGTGTGAACGTTTTCATCTATTATCGTCTGTGTAAGAATTTTTTTATCTATTGTTATCATGCATGAACGTGTTCGTCTACCTTTGTTCACACATACACCAGTATTCGATACTATCTTGTCGTTAATCCACTCTGGCGTAACGGTTACCAGGATTTCTGGCAATTCCTTCTGCGCAAGCAATTGTCGGCTGATGCATTGGCGCACCTTAACTTCACTGTGTTTGGTTTGGGAGACTCGTCGTACACAAAGTACAACTACCCGGCCAAGCGATTACACAAGCGTCTGTTACAGTTGGGAGCCCAACAGTTCTACAAACGTGGGTTAGGAGATGACCAGCACTTGCTAGGGTGTGTCTATCTCCACCATGCTCAATGTATATGAATTGTCATGAACAAACTTGTCAATGCTCAATGTATATGAATTATCATGAACAAACTTGCCAATGCTCAATGTATATGAATTGTCATGAACAAACTTGCCAATGCTCAATGTATATGAATTGTCATGAACAAACTTGCCAATGCCCAATGTATATGAATTGTCATGAACAAACTTGCCAATGCTCAGAATACAAGCTTCGGTTGAAATCGAACAGAGGAGTATATGTCCACATACAGTTGCTACGTGTGTTCTGTTTTTCATACGTCTTGCATGCGACGTAGTCGTCTGTACTAGTAACCGGTTCAGTGATGTTGTACCAGTGACTGATTCCGTAGTGTATTGCAGGTGCACATGCGTTGTTTTGTTTCCAGGGTGTTTAAAACAAACTGTTTCTCGATCATCTGTGGGCCATCCTACGTTCGTACATAAACACCACAACACTCAACCTTGTCGTAACCACCCGCTTAAACAGACTGGACGGTGAATTGACACCTTGGCAGGTGGGTCTGTGGCAAAAGCTGCTTTTCCTTCATCCCTTACCTGAAGGCGAGAAGGTTGCTGACACGGCTTTGACACGCCCGCTGCCAAAGTACCGTGTCGCTGTCATGTCCAAAGGAACTTCAGACTCCACCGGTAACCAGCCAACAAATTCCAGTACGTCTTCACACAGTGCGGGGTCTGTGTCCCATAACACTTTTTTTTGGACTTTTGTCCCGTCCTGAATCTAGCTGTGTAGTTCGTACTGGAGTTGTTATAAAGTCTGACCACCACGCTGCGCAGTGCTTAGCTTCTTACTGTGTGCTCAAGTGGTGGGAGACTTAGGGCTGTTTTACTATCCGTCCCCTGTGGCCATACCACCTTAAGGCTATACACCCATGCACCCATGCGGTGTTTCCGGTCTCTTTGCACCTACACCTCCTTTTTCGGTCAGTGGGTCTTTATTGTCCAGGACATGTATGCAAGACGGTACATTCATTGAACTCAACTAACCATTTTTGCCGGTATCTCTCCAGGCACACCCGCACAGACACCTCAAAGTGGTCCCTTCAGCAGTACAAATCCCCTATCGGCCCAAGTGAAGTGCAACGAACGCATGACAACCGAAGATCACTGGCAAGACGTTCGCCATATAGTGCTCGATGTGGCGGACCCAGACGGGTATGTGTATATATGGGTATATATATATATATATATATATATATATATATATATTATGTGTGTGTGTGTGTGTGTGTGTGTGTGTG